TACGAAAGACAGTTTATCAACCAAAATAATTCATAAAATCACTCTGAAGTATCACTGAGTAATATTATTCGAATGACATTCGAAATTATTCATGTGTTATTTAAAAAACATCATATTTACATTTATTTTGCACAAATAATTCGACAAAATAATGGAGACTGACGCCATTTTAGTTTCAAACATGAAATTAGTATTACCAGAATATATCGCGAGTAATAGTATTACCTAATTGGCAATCGCGATGTAAATAAATTTAAATAAAGGCGCTTTAACTCAAACTCAAACACTTATATCTGCTCATACCTAGGGATACACTACGGTTCTTGTCGAAATATAAAAAACACATTTAAAAAAAATTATGTCTTCTTTTATATATGCATGTACCCCATGCACCATTAACCATTTTCTTTCGATAAGTTCCAAGCAAAAATCTGCTGAGATCATAACTATTTTTTTATAGTTATGTTTTAGTTGGCGTAAGTTTTAAATATGTTTCTTATTATAATATATAAAAAAGCCGTTTCTTATTATATATCTTTGAATATTTGATAAAAATAAAACGTCCGAAACTTTGTTTAAAAATCCGTGGATAGATATTTTTGAACATTTTATAAAAATAAAACGGCCAAAACTTTGTTTAAAAATCCATGGGTAGGATATAAAAGAAGATTGATGGATAGATATATTTTTGATTATTTCACAAAAATAAAACGGCCAAAGCTTTGTTAAAGATAGCTTAAGATTTAAATTAAATAGCTCATCCTGACTACAGGTATCTATGTGTATCAACATAATTGTCTAAAATTTTTTGGTACGGCAAAACTTCAATTTGAAGCACAAAACTTTTTAAATTTTTCTGAACTATATTTGTTCTTAATTTACTTTAACATAACATTATTTTTTTCAGTCATTCACTTTTCATGTTTAATTTCAAGCATTATACAGACTGTACAATTTTCATCACAATCGACAGTAGTAAGTAATATTGATTTTAGTCTATTTTAATTCGCGTATTTTGATAGTTTTTCAGTTTAGTTGCAAAATTTTTTAGTTTAATTTTTATAAAAATAATTATAATTGTAATATATATGTAAGAATCTTAACAAAAATTGGGGTCAAATATTGCTTTTAGAAAATCTGTGACAATATATGGATATCCAAGAGTGTTGTGGTTTTTTACCCTTTTCACCACATGTCTTTGTATGAAAAATTGTATTATAAAATTAATGAAAGATCAATCTGTATTTTTAAATAAATATATATTAAATGGTTTAATATTTGTACAAACTACGAAATGCAATTATATTATATATTATAATTTCATTTTCTTCACCGCTCACCAACAGATTTGTTATTATTAACTGAATTAAATTAACAACAATATTAACAATCTTTCATTGACAACAAATTATATGCCTATATAAATTTATATAAATACAATTATAAAATCATTATTTGGAACCTATCTTACCCGTATACATATACATTATATATGAATAAGTTCTTTAAGGGCGTCAAACATCAAACAAAGAAAGAATAAAGATTTATAAAATAATCTTTAATTCCAAATTCCAAAAAATGGAATTAAATATTATTTTATAAATCTTTGTTTTTCTTTGTTTGATATATCGCCCTTAAAGAACTTACTCATATATCTCAACATCAAAATTAACTACTAAATCTATTTATATATATATATATATATATATATATATATATATATATAATGTACATTTATTGGATTTAATTAATGTCTTCTATGTCAACAATTTGAACTTATTTTAACATAAATTATGTTTCAGTCGATACTTAATTATCCTAAAGTATTTATGGGCTATGAATTAGGCAATTTATACTATATGAGCAAGATATAGAATGCAAACTTCAATCCATAGAATTTTCTAGATTGCTATATTTTGACAGCAAGCGATCTAATTCTTCATCATTAACCTTACTCTGAAAGTGAGAAAGTGAGAAGATAAAATATTTTATTCATATACATTTAATTTTCAAAATATTTAAACTTACTGTAGCACTGCCATCTGATTGTGTACTTTTAGCTAGTTTTAACCATTTAGCTGCATTCTCAAAGTCACTGATAGCTATATATGATTTTGCAAGAAGAAACCTAAAATTATAATTTGTAGAAATAAAAGTATAAGAAAAAGCTATATTATTTTAAAATCTATATAACTTTCATCACTTATTTACAATACATTCAGTTGAAAATACTGGTCAAACATAAGTTGTGAATAAATGTTAAAATGTAAAATGTGTATGAATACGAATACTCTAATGGATTTCAAAAACATTTGTCTAAAAACAGGTCAAGTAAAAATCTGATCCATACACTTTAATTTACATAAATATAACATCTTCTGGTTTGAATGTAATATTGCTATAAATGCTAGAGGCATTTTTTGCCTCTTACATAACTTTACATTATATTATTTGCAAAATAATTAGTTAATAAAAAATTAACCATAACAAGTGTGTAATTTTGATGTTGTTTTGAACAGATCTTTTGAATTTGAAAGAGAAAAATTAATATTACCTATTATCTCGTGAAGGCAGTATTGAAAGTTCCTCTGCTTTTTTAAAATCTTCAATAGCTTCGGGATAAGTAGATGTGGGGGGTTCAGCAAACAAGCTAGATGCCAATTTTCTTTCTATCCATGTTAAACCAGACACCTATATAAGAATTCATTTAAATTTGAAAAAACTAATTTTTATTTATGACTGATAGTTTAAATTTTACCTCATTTTTAAATTTGCCAAGTAAATGATATAAGTATTTATGATTAATAGTTTTAAATTTACCTCATATTTAAATCTGCCAAGTAAATGATATAAGTAAGGATCACTAGGATTTAATTCCAAAGCTCGTTCAACATGCTTCTTAAACACAAAACCTTCTTCGATTTTATCTTTGATACCTGTATGGATTTGTAAAACATTTCTGTGATTAGTTTATTTTATCATAAAACAAAAATCATATCTAAAAATTATTACTACCTAAAAATTCAACTCTTGAGCCCATAAGTATTGCATACCATTTATGACATTCTGAATTAGCTTCATTTAATTCTAAAGCTTTTTCAGCATTGATTAACCCTGCAATAATGACTTGAATTATATAACAAATATAATTATATCATAAGTATATATATATATATATATATATATATATATATATATACCTGTAACCCTGTGCTGCAGACGATCTGATATCATGTACTAATGATTGCTGTCTTTCACTTGATAGACATTATAATAGTTAATAAGATTTTGCTTACAGGACTAACAATTTTCATACTTGAAGAAAAAGCTTCTCAATCTACATTGATTATTTATTATTGATAGATTGATATTTCTAATAATTATGTTCAACAGCTATGTAAATGATCATTACATGATCATTACTTACACACAGTTTTAAACTAACAAAATTAAAATTCTGGATTAATGTTACTAACCTTTGCTTATCCATTCCTCTCTTTCTTGTCCTGTTGCCAAAATAGAGAGCCTATAACAAACTTTAGCTAGTCTCCAGTATAATTCTGCATTTTCATTAGATTGTTTTGTTGTTTCATTTAATTTAACTAAAACAGATTTAAGATCTGCTTCACTATTATGACTTGCCTTAAGAGTATTGTCAACTATTTCAAGAGCCTATAAAAATGATATAAAAATGTATAAACAATCATTGTATAAAAAAAAGATAAATTTTTCAAATCAGTCAAATAGTAGAGCACTCACATAATTTGTACATATTTAATTCTAGAATAATATGTTATTTTAATTATTGTTACTTGGTAAAGTATTGTTTAAAATGAAGTTACTGAGATGTTCTTATTTAAAGACCTTATATACACAAGTGTAGACTTCAGAATATAGTTGACTTCATTGCTTTCATTCATTAAATGTATTCGAAATATATATATTTTACCTCAACCACACTAGTAGTTTTTTCATCTTCAGTATCAGTAGATAAATCATAAAATTCATCTGATGAATTGTCCATATCTGTTGACAAAGCTGAGGTATACATATCTGTATCTGAATTATACAACACAGGAGAATCGGTTTCAGATTTTGTACTTTTAACTGATCCATCTAAAGGTTTTATTCTTTTGCGCCTGTGTTTTGATTTGTTTGCTTCTTTTTGTGCTCTACGAGTAAAAAATTGAAGTACTTCATAAAACTATCTTTATAAATATTTACATTAATTTATACTAGTTATATCCTTATGTGAGCTTATAGTTAAACAAATATAAAAAATGCAAGTATGAATATAAATCTAGAAATTAAATTAATTTATATTTGTTAAATTATGCTAATATTTATATATTATATTACTCTTTGCATTTGCATCCATCTGCTCAAAATATTGATGCATTTAACGCAGATTGCCAGACATTTTTAGGAATCATTTTTAATATAAGTGAGTTTTATATACACTTTACATATATGTAGTTTGTAAAATAATTTGAAAACTAGCTGTAAGTGGAATTCTGTCTTGAGGCAATTATGGCATCGTGCCTTAAGGCAAATTGCTGGAACTTCCCGTACCGTAACAAAATGTTCGAGGAATACTGAATGTTTTCAAATAGATTATTATAAATATTGTAACATTGTCTAATATTTATAAGAATTATATAAACTGAATTGCAAAGTTGAAATTATTTGTAAAGTATATTAGAACTATAGTCAGAATTAAAAATAAAATCTGAATTATTTTCGATATAGAAAAAATAAAAAAAAAATTAAAAAAAAAAAGGAAAAATTTTTTTTTTCCAAAATCAATTCCGTATCTTCGAAATGGCTGGGCCTGCCTTTTCCAAAAACTAATAAACACTTCTCCCAATCATTACTAATTGAATGTTTTTTAGATCATTCAAATCGGATACTCCGTTCTCTCAAAAAGTCGATTTCTATTTTCTGCATTCTTTGTTCCGTACCTCCGAAACGGCTGGACCTGCCTTTGCCAAAAACTAATCAGCTCTTTTCCCTATGAATAGGAATCGAATGTTTTTTAAACCATTCAAATCGGTTGATCCGTACGCCCGAAAACGTGGGCGAAAATTTGTATCCATACATACACACACACACACACATCCATTTTTTCTGAGGTATGCCAAAATGTTCAGAAACCTTCAAAACGTCGAGAAATGTAAAAAATTTCAATTCCGATTTTCGGCCTATTACAATAACTTACCCTACGGGAAGTTAATAACTAGTTTAGTTATATTTCTTACATAATATTAATTAGATCATTTATCTAAGCACTTACGTTTCTTTCTGTAGCTTACGCAAAGCATCCAATTCTGCTTGCAGAGATTCTAAACGTTTATCGAGACTATCTACTTGTTTGCCTAAAAAAGTAATTTCAAAAGTCTATATCTTGATATATTATTAGTATATCAATATCAAACCATTCCAATTTTTATTTTATTATTGGTTCAATTTTGAAGCTAATGAATTATAGCAAAAAACTCTCTAAACTTTTAGATAACGGAATAATAGTTTCTTGAGTTATATAGACATATTTTGGTAATAATAGACTCACATAACATACGACGCTTCTTCTCAGCTAGAACCTTTTCATATATAAACATTCCTGCTGCACCAACTATTCCGACAACGCAGGCACCCATAATTCCAAACATATAATTGGGCGCTGTATTACTCATCTTGGACAATTTAGGTGTTTTTAAATGTGATGTAGAGTAAAACTAATTCCAATTGTATTAAACAAAGTGAATAAATTATTCACAAATATACATAATGATCTTATATTTTCATATTTATTATATGTTACTATTCATGACCGCGCGATTATTATCGCCATTGATAAGGTATAAACCGAAGTCCACATATTTTAAACTTGTTTATAAATACACATATTTAATTAGACAAGAACGATTTTATTTGCATATTTGTATTCACGTACAACCTTTCATGATAAGGAAACGCGACGATGATGACAGGTTTTTCTGTCATGTAAATGTGACAAGAAGGAGCTTGAGCTTACAAGAACGTTTTGACAGTAACAATCACTAGCCTACATTAGACATTGTATTGTCTAGGACAACACTAGTGTTAATATCGTATTATGTTCAGATTCGAATTCGAATTTAGAACACTAGACTATATTCTAATTCTAATGACCCAAGATAATATAATAACATAACCATAAAAGGTTCCTTAGGTAAGATTGGTACAATATGCAATAGTGGTTTTCCTAGAGTCTAGGTAGGGCTTAGACAAATAATAACAGTTAGTGACGGTTGTAATCATAAAGCACTTTGTACGTGTACTTTATAAATTATACTCTGTTTACGTTTTACATATATTTTCAGTCTTTTATCTATGGGTAGCACTACATTTGGCACAGATGTAACCAACCAAATTACCAGAAACCATTCAATTAACTTTAATTGACATAAATGGTTGTGTATATAAGGTATATGAGGTAGAGGTCCTAGGATGTTCCTTTGATAAACTACATACAGACTAAATTCATGATTCAACTCCATTTTTGAAAAGTCTGTTTGTTGTCGGATATGTTATGATGCTAGGATTTGTTTTATTTAATAAACGACATCTTTATGCAATACTTTATAGACATCGAGTCTGATAACAATAAATATGACTTCATTCTTCTTCAATGATTTTAGAAGCAGCCCGGAAAATGAATTAAATGAGGAACATGAATTCTTGAATACTTAAATAGCTCTCACATATAATAGAAGTTTATTATTTATTGCATAGATAAGGAAAAAAGGTTTATTATATATACATATATATATATATATATATATATATATATTCATTTATTTATTTAACTCCCCGTGGCAATAATCATATAGTTTAATGTTAACGCGAAAATAGTTTTGATCAAATATACACTCTAGATAATCTAGATGATAATTGACATGTTGAGCGAATAAATAATCTGTTAATGAAATTGCAAATAATTGAGAAATCTTTATAGTTGTAACATGATTTTGATTTCATTTTCTGTTTTACTAAACAATATATTCCACACTCAAAATATTGTTTCTATTTACAATATAAATAATCTTTAATCTGATCTCTTTTAAATACAGGAAATCATATTGGTCAAATACTTTATCCTTCACATTATTTTTTTTTTGTTTATTTCATTTATTCATATATTTTTTCTAAAAATGGAGGTTGAACTGACATGACATTTGACTGAAAAGATTTATGAAAAATATTCCAAATGCTTATATAAATATTATTAACACAATTTTTAACAGTTAATACTTACATTTTAATCGGTATTTATTATATTCTAATGTATTTATTGAAATACTATATATATATATATATATATATATATATATATATATATATATTTTTTGAATAGTCTTGAATTTGATGTTGATATATATGTTTAATTTGAGTTTAAACTCAAATTAAACATATATATATATATATATATATATATATATATATATATATGAAGGCTAGCATATGTATAGTAATGTAATAAACTTAAGTTCAGTCCGATATTTTTGCCTATTTTTATCTTTAAGTGATCTGATTACTTTTTCTAACAATGATTAACATAGGTAATAAGAAACATGATTAAAACCATCTATTTCAATAAATATTTTTATTCAAAATATATACATATACTATTTACAATATAAAGCATGTCACAGGAAACATGTAATAAATAATATCGAATAAATATAAATAATATAGAATAAATAAACATTGAAATTAAACATAAAAAAGAGAAAAGAATTGCATTTTGAAGAAATGATTAGCCGAACCAAAGTTAAACCAAACAATGAATGAAAACTGAATTTTAAAATTTAAATGGAAGTATGGACAGAAACCTTGTTATATAACTTCCAACAACCGAAAAACCGTATTTTTTGTAGAAATGCTATCTTTCACCACACGGAAAATATATTCACATAAATATGCTTAGATTAATCAATATCATTCATCACCCATGCTGCTCGTTTTATTGTTCTCAAACCATTTCTCAACACTGGTTTTATCATTCTTGTCTAGATATGTACGATATGGTATCACAGCTTTGCATTATGTTTCGAAAATCTTTCCTGGTAATTATTGATGCCCTTAATGGTAAATGTCCTTCATACGGTACATTTCTAATATTTTTCAAAATAATGCCATCTGAAACTCCTACTATAACTTGATCTGTAAAAAAATTGAAGATTGACATATAAGTCAATGAAAAATTTATCTTTGATATGTTCTTTCAGGCTCTTATCTAATGAAATAAATTTTATATCTTGATTGTGTCCCGCATGTGTCTTCCAAAATTCAACATGAACTGTTCCATTTTGATTAATAGTACAACTAATCCTTGATGGGCAAGCATATCCGGTTTTGTTGCTCGTTTTAGAAAACAAGCGTACAGTGGGTTTTTGATCATGTGTATATGACCTGTTTTAGATTTGTATCCTGAATTGCATTTTACATAATGCGAAAACTGCTTCCGCTCTATGTCCGCTTTCCACAATTCAAAATCTACAAAGTCAAAAATGTAGGTAATTGTGTAATTAGGGTTATAAATTATGAGAGAGAAGACTTCAAACCTTCAATTGTAGTCTTGTGATAAAACTCAATATGATCGTATAGACCAGTGTACCTAGAAAAAACAGAGGAGCAGGAAGGGAGTGGACATCTTATTCTGGTTTTTCTTGATGGTGTACCTACAAAAATGATTTATATGTAACACAATAATAAATAAGATCAATGTACACATATAAAAGCACTACATACCTATAAAATTTTCCTTAGAACTGATTTGAACTGAACTTTAATAGAAAAACACTTATTGTAACAATGAAATATGAAAAATAAACATTAATTATAATAAGAAGCTTACTAGACAAAAAAGCAACGCAAGCGAAGCGATCCAGAGCACAAAAACAAAGAACCGAAATATGTGAAGAAAACTGTTATAAACAAATACAAAAAGAAACAATAAATTTAGAAATAGCAACAGAACGAAAGAATTCTAATTACACGAAAAGAAAAAGCAGAAAATATAATAAAACGCTTAATTGAAACGAAACCGTCGCGACGCTATACCCACACAAAAATGAGAAAAGAACGCTGGTCTAAATATTCCACGAAATGACAGATTATGCTCTATCCCGGAGCCAACTTCAGAGCGTAGGTGCTTTTTAAACGTCAAAATCATCTGTCATGTTATCAGAATTTAGTGGCTCCTGCGATTTTGATACAAACAAACGAACGATCCATATAAGTTTATTTATCTTTGATGTTTTCCACACTTACTATTTTGGCTAACTTCACAGCTTTCAGATAAGATAAATTTAATTTTGACGTTTCAAACTGAAAGAATAACAAAAATTTTGTGGTTATATATTTATATAAACTCAAATTTGCGAAAAAAATGTGTAGAATTTGGTTTACAAAAGTTTTAAACAAACTTTTTGTGACAGACATAATATTTTTAATCAATTGTACTTAGTGTCATTGTGCGGTTTTAACGAATTTATTTCAAATTGTTTGTTATTATTTTGATCCTTTGAATTCATACAACTGGCCGTTGTAATGTTTAATTACCCAACGAATGTTTAATTACCCAGCGAATAGTGCTTAATTATTGTGTGTAATTATGTTTTAACTAGTTTTTTAATATGTTTTGCCATAAAATTTGATTTTAGTCCTAATAATTCATAAATTTGAGACCGGGGTTCCGATTGCTCTCAGGGGCACTTTCAGTCGCGTGAGCGACTACGCGAGTACCCTCCAACCTGCCTATATAAAGGAGTGCTAATTAGCGGGCGGCTCATTAGCGCGTCAGCTCTCGAACAGTAAACATCTCGCGCAGTAGTGCAGTGCAACTGATCAAAGTGAATAGTAAATATTATTATTTTGAAACCAAGTAGTGTTTTTTAAGTGTGTTCCGGTATGCAGTATATACTTATAGAAGGTAAGAGCTTTTACTTTTCATTATTTTGTACTATTATTATGTTTTATTAGCACAACAATTGACGCAGTTTGGTACAGATATGTAAACAGTCTTTACATCTGTAAAAATGTCTTAGGCGTGCTTAATTGTTGAGTTATTATAAATTTACTACATATTATTTAATATTATGGCACCTTTCTTCAATATTTATTGAAATTTTTACGTTTTTTTGCAATTTAAATTTTGTTGTTTTTAAAAAATTCAAGATGGCGGCCATAATATTATTGACAGTTATTAGCACAACAACTGACGCCGTTTGGTACAGATATGTAAACAGTGTTTACATCTGTAAAAATGTTTTAGGCGTGCTTAATTGTAGATTTATGATAAATTTAATACATATTGTTTAATATTATTGCACTTTTCCCCAATATTTATTGTAATTTTTGGTGTTTTTTCCAATTTAAATTTTGTTGCTTTTCAAAAATCCAAGATGGCGGCCATAACAACAACCGGTGGTTTTTGCCTGATTTAAGCAATATAACCGTTTGCACAACCTATTATTGATGAAAATTCAATAAATTTTGATGTAATAAATTGATGTACATTCAAAAACTGTGCCTGTAAAGTATTTTTTGTTCTAAAAAGCAACGACAAATTCTTCGGTCCTGACGGCGTCTCAGCTGTCAATTGACCAAAGTTTGAATTGCTTTTTTAACATTACAATCGTATTTGCTACGATAATTCCAATATAAATCATTTTCATTTAACAAATTGAATTCATTTTCATCAAATTGCATATTGTTATTATTTATTATTTGCAACTTTTTCGCAAAATATTGACAAGCCATCTAGCGGCGCTTTTGCAAAACAAGATGGCGTCCGTTGCTAACTTTAATTTATGTTCAAACCAGTACTTCTGCTTTATATTTAAATATTTACTATTATTATTTATTCAATAGTTATACACCTTTATTATTTTTTTATATAATTTCAAGTTATATAAAATAATAATGTAATGTAATGGAATTATTTCATATCATTTTTATATATATTTTATTAAAATATGACATAATTCCATCATAGACTTTTGTATATGACTTAAAAATAATATAAAATTCTAATGGATTAATTAATAGTTATTTTTAAACGTTTTGAAACAAATCCATCGTTGTATTTTTCATTATTTTCAGATTTTGATATGATCTTATCACTTCGAGCCCACATCACTTCATTTTGCAGAGAGTTGCAGATGCAGAATTTGCAGATATTTATAATATTGCAGAGAGATAAATGGGCGAAGATGCTGCAAAGGTAGGTTTCTTTTATTTTCAACTTATGGGTTTTAACTTACTTAAAAAAATAAATAATTTTCATAGCCCATGATGATATTTATGCGGATGCGGTGATAAGCAATGTGTTCATTTCATATATTATAATTGATTGATGAGTTATTTATGTTATATTATTATTTATGCGGTCGAAATATCCTATTTATATGTATTTAAATTTGTCGTCGTTGCTGAGAAATCTTCAAAAGGTTAGTGGCTTTGTTTTTCATTTAATTTCTTTTATTTTTATTTTTATTTTTACTATTTTTATCACTTGCTTGTCACCATCGATATGAGATTTTTTACTAGGATTTTTTCCAATTAGAATTTTTAATGATCAAGACTAACTTTTACTTTTTATCACACCCTGATCGGTTTAGACACCGAAATTTTGTATATCTCATTCTATCCTGTTGTAACTTTTATTTTTTATCAAACCCTGATCGGTTTCAATACCGAAATTTTGTATATCTCATTCTACACTATTAGAACTTTTATTTTTTATCAAACCCTGATCGGTTTCAAGACCGAAATTTTGTATATCTCATTCTACCCTGTTGTAACTTTTAATTTTTATCACACCCTGATCGGTTTCAATACCGAAATTTTGTATATCTCATTCTAACCTGTTGTAACTTTTATTTTTTATCAAACCCTGATCGGTTTAGACACCGAAATTTTGTATATCTCATTCTACCCTGTTAGAACTTTTATTTTGTATCAAACCCTGATCGGTTTCAATACCGATATTTTGTATATCTCATTCTACCCTGTTGTAACTTTTATTTTTTATCAAACTCCGATCGGTTTAGACACCTAAATTTTGTATATCTCATTCTGACCTGTTGTAACTTTTATTTTTTATCAAACCCTGATCGGTTTCAATACCGAAATTTTGTATATCTTATTCTACTCTGTTAAAACTTTTATTTTTTATCAAACCCTGATCGGTTTAGACACCGAAATTTTGTATATCTCATTCTACCCTGTTGTAACTTTTATTTTTTATCAAACCCTGATCGGTTTCAATACTGAAATTTTGTATATCTCATTCTACTCTGTTGTATCAAACCCTGATCGGTTTCAATACCGTAATCTTGTATATCTCATTCTACTCTGTTGTAACTTTTATTTTTTATCAAACCCTGATCGGTTTCAAGACCGAAATTTTGTATATCTCATTCTACCCTGTTGTAACTTTTAATTTTTATCAAATTCTGATCGGTTTCAATACCGATATTTTGTATATCTCATTCTACCCTGTTGTAACTTTTATTTTTTAT